ATGTCCTAACTTTCCATAATTGAAACAAGTAGGGTTGAACTTAGAATTAAAGTTATGTGGTCGCTGATTTCAATTCCTAGGTTGGTAGATCCTACATTGTCTAGTAGGCCTCTATCCTAAGAGTCCCTTATTCTTGGGTTCAAGGTTAGGGACAAAATCAGTAATCTCCACTATAGACAATGGTGAACGTACTGTACGATCCAGTCTAGAAAATTCCATTAAACTCGCTGATCTACTTCCTCCAATTTTCAAGACTTGCTAAAATGTGCTTCACTCACACCTATTTTCAATTTTCTGAAATTGTTTATCTCCTGTGGATTATCAAAAACTTCTTATTTTTGTACTCTTCCCGTGCTTTTGTTCTAATCTCCCTCAATCTTCAGCAACCTCTATAATCTCTTGAGAAAGTACCTTCTTGTATGTGTATAGGAAATGGATGTTTTGAATTATATGAAGTTAATATTTTTCCCAAATATGTGGTTGTATATATATAAAATGGACCGAATAAAACTCTTGAAAAATGCGAACTAAGATTATCCACATAATATTGCCGCTCAAGCAATAGGCGAGTTGATAAGTACAATTTGTACACTTATTTAGACCATTTTATTAAACTTTTATGTCGTCAATTTATTAATTTTTATTTAACTTAGGTTAATTCTGTTTGTGTTTTTAGTGATGGACTATTTGGAAAAGGATGGGGGATTTAATTGGCTATTTTATGTAAGATTGGAGATCGAATTTCACACTTTAAAACTGGAGGACATGAAGAAAATAATAAATTAAATGGGCCTAAGTTTTGAACTTAAATTTGGTTTCAAATTCATTAGCCAATTGGAATCCTGTTTTACAGAAGAAAGTGGGCTGGTCTAATTAATATCACCAAGTTTAATTGGGCTGCAAAAACAAAAGGGCTGTTAGCTTTATATATATCCCCACAGAAACACGTGAACAGGGGGCTGAATTTGGAGATTAAGGGAGGGAGGCAGCTTGGAGTATCTTGGGGGGAAAAAAATATAGGCGGCGAAGAGAACAATTGGAAGGAGATTTGGAGAATAACCGAGAAAATTTGGTCGTTTTTGGGTGAAGAGAAGCGGCTACCCTGGGGGGAAATCAGAGAGAGAATTAGAAGAGAATTGAAATTGGTTTTGAGTAAAAATAGCCAGCTGGAATTCATTGAAAATGCCACCTTGTGGAAATATATACACATATAATTGGGCAGCAATTTGTGAGTTAAACTGGGAAGTAATATAGGGTTGAATTGGGATATCTTCTTGGAGATTATTACACGCCAACTGAGAAGGAAACACAAAAAAATAGAGGGCTGCAGGAATTGAAAAAGAGACGCAAATGCGTGGCCTGCTGCTAAATTAATAGACATATTGGCGGCTGAATTTGGGGATTGGAGAGATAGATTTCATATACAAAGAGCCATAAAGCACGCCAATTAGGGGAGTTAATAAGGCAGCAGCTTGGAGTTGCTTGGGAAGTAAAAAGGCAACTGGGGAAGAGACACACATACACAGTCAAGGGCCAAGAAAAAGTGAAGAATTAATAATGTTCCGTCAATTTGTGATCTCCTTCCGCTTTTGTGTGTTTAATTCCAACGTGATGCTAGCTTAAATCTTTTTATGTATTGGATAGATGATAAAATTGTTTAATTCTTAGTTTTAATTCGAGACCTGTGTTTTTATCTTAATTTTTGTGTTGTGATTCCATTAATATGCTTATTTATATTGTTTTAATATTTGCACACCATTAGGACAATAAGTTGCTTATTCGTAGTGTTGAAAAATTCACGATAGGTAGAACACTGTTATTGAAAACTCGACAATAAATGTTAGAAATAATATTTGTGGCATGTGCGATCATATGTGATAATCTTAAATGTCAATGCATGTTTGTCATATAAATTCGGATTAGGAATATGATCGTCTCGTGGTAAATATAAGTTTATTATATCTTGAAAAATAATAATAAATAAAAGTGAAATTATCTATCGTCACAATTGCATGAGTTGAGATAAATATTACAGGATGAGAATTAGAAATAAGAGTTGATCAGTGGCATCGAAAATCCAGTACGTTTATTTATTTGAATTTTAAAACAAATCCTTGTTAATTCTACAATTTTTTTTTAGTTACATAACTTAATTAGCTATTTAAACAAAAATAAACTTTTGGTTATTAATACGAATTTAATTATATCAAATACACTAGAATTAGACTTTCTTCCATGTGGGAGGATAACTCTTTCATCACAATTATTACTTGTACAATGAATCCCTATGCTTGCGGGATTTTTGACAAACACATTTGACGAACACAAGCAATCGATGTTTTGCTCAAGCAATAGCTCAGCGACAAACGATCGACAAGGTTGCTGTTTTTTCTACTCAAGCAACAAATGGACAATGAGCTAGTGTAAAGCCCGCAACTCTTTCCTCTCTGTTCCACACTTGAACCCTAAGTTACCTATTTCATCTATACAACATTTCTAACTTTTACAACTTTTCATATTAGTCAATTTGTCTAAAAAATTGTCAATACAGTAAAATCTTTTTAACATTTTCAGCCACAAATTTCATTAATTTTTATCAAAGGCTTCTTCCAACAACCCTTAAATGGTATTAAATATGTGCAGATTTCCCTCACCACTTGATTTTATATATATATGAACAATTAAAGTCAACTCAAATTTCTCGAGTCTTTTATTTCGTTCAAGTCATCGTCTTCTTTAAATAATTTACTTGCTTGTTCCTCTTAATAATTATAAAGAAAAGATCAATGGCCCGTAAGAATATTTCGACCATCAATAAAACAATAATTACTGAATGAGATGACTTTATTTTAAACATTTAACATGCAATCGTTTTTATTTTTACTTACTCAATTAGTTGAAAAATTAGTTTACTGTCAAAGCATTTTCTAGTTTATTTATTTATTTATTTTAAATAGAAAAAAAAAAATGCGAACGCCCCTTGGTTAAGAAAATTAATAATAATTTTTATTCCTTTAATGTTATATTTTGTAGTTAAAATGGCAGGCAAATGTCATTCATTAAGACTTTAGACAAATCATAGGCTGCACCAACATCATATTGTATTGTTTCTATCAATAATTCATGCACTGTCTCAAACATCGCAAACATCGAAAACGGATTTACACGCGTATTCGTGTTTTTGTTCAATCGTTAATGTTTTATAATATTACAAATGCTTAGCACCAATTTAAATAGAAGTGGAAGCCGTTATCTGCATCCAGTACTACATGATATTATCCTATTTAGTCTACAAATTTACAAATATTTAGGCATTTTTTCACTCACAGGCCTGAATTTTTGACAACCAACCATGCGTCAAGTCATAATGGTTGCCCCTCTTGCTGAGTTGTCCACACGATTACTTCGAATGAGCTAAAAATTCACACTCTAGTGGTGGCACTCGACAGTGACCATTGAAGTATGAAGTGCTTAAATTGAGCCAAATATTTAATTGCCAAGTAGTTATTGGAAATACCCAAATAGAACCCTCATTCACATAAATTTTTGTGTTTAAGTACGAGACTATTTATTAATTTTCGACTCCCTTATCATGAACGGCAAAAAGATGATTACTCTGGCATGTTTAATATATTGTACTGAACAATATTTGTACATTATTCCACCAAACTCAAAGTACCTAATATTGATTCAGTGTTTGCTAATTTTTCAAAAAATAAATATAATATAACAGGAATATTAATTAAGAAGTATATTTTGGTAAGGTAGCCCCCAACTACATGTGCTTATTTTGAAAGAATCCTCTAATGACTTCCGCTCTTTATGTATTTAGACATGGCCACATGCTTGCCTAAACAATAATTAATGAAACGTGAACATAACAAACACTCCAACGATTATTAACCAAGCAAACCTCAGTGTTATCTTATATAAATTCTCAGCTAATTTTTAATGGCAGTTGCCACAACATTAAATGGACCCTAAATCACATTTAATTCCATCATTACCTAGTAGAGCTCTAAGGTTATTCTCTACCTAATTTCTCCTAACATATAGACTCTATATCTCCCTTTTTTCTTTATTTCCGTTCTGATTTTAGCTCATTTTTGGGCACATGAAAAAGTCAGTTATCTTAATACTTGAGTCATTTAGCAATCAACAAAATTAGGTGGAACATACACATCCATTCTCTAAGATCTTTAATCGGACAAATTACTTTTAAAAAATTATCGAAACTTATTCAAAAAAAAAAAAAAAACTTCTGATCTTATTTTCAGAAACAACTTCTGACTTAAAAATCTTATCAAACGGGTCTCAAGCCTATTACACCACCCTCTGAGGCTAGAATGAGTGGATAATATATGTAGTGTGTTAGTTAAGAAACTTGAAATGTTAGGAATATTTCAGTTGAATTTGTTGGTGTGAATTGGTGGGATGAGAGTTACTTAAAACTGTCACACATAACAAATAAAAAAAGCTTAAAAGTGAAGTATTACATAAAAAAATATATTAATACAGATGGATACACACATGGATATGCAGTTACCAACCCATCTTTCCTATCCACTTAATTCTTTATCATTTAATGAAACAGACAGACAAAGGAAGTTTTTATTTGTGACGAAAAAAAATAAAGACAACCTAATCCACGACTTTAGTTGTGGTGCTGGTTATGCCTAACCATGTCCATGCTATGCCATCCCTTTCTCTATCTCACTCACACTACACGTTCTTTAACACTTTGGAGGGTTGGAAATCCCTTTTCCACTCAAAGAAATAAGAGAAAATAAATATTAAAAAAAATGAGGCTCATCACTAACTTTTCGTGAATGAAAGCAACCGTGAACTGTATTTTGTTACTTACTTTAAGAATTCAGCTTTGTGCGTAACATAAAAGGCAAGAAAGACTAAAAAGAAAGAATTGATAACAACAATATTAATGAATTATGAATTATAACAATTGATAATTGTGATGAAAAGAAAATGTAAAACAACTTTTTTTTATATTGCATCAGTGTCGACTCTTGTTTTCTAGTAGTGGCAATCGACTAAGGCCGGGGAGGAGAAGATAAGAAACTTTTCGTCTGGCCGGTGATCATCCTCCAGTGGTGCCGGGAGGTTAAGATCCAGAGCAAGAATATTTCTAGGTTCCTCAGAATCATCGGTGCCAATTCTAGTTGTATTTGGTGCTGTCCTATGCCTTCTCATGTGACCTCCCAATGCTTGTCCTGATGAAAACTCTGAACCGCATATTGAACACTCATGGATTTTAGGCTTAATTTCAACTTTGCCTGATGATTGGATTGAAGGTGGTGGACTAAGACTAGCGATGATCAATTTCTTTTCTTCCTCGTTGTGATCGAACGGTGATGATTTTTTCTGATTATCTGATGAAGACTTGGGCTTTTTGTGACTTGCTCTGTGCCCACCTAAAGCTTGAAATGATGGAAAAGTTCTATTGCAGGTTTTGCATTCATAAACATAGATGCCGACCTTTCCTTGTGTTATATTGGCCATTTCCGTGAATTTTCGGCTACTAAATTTCTCCACCTTGTCACCACTTTGTGCTAAAAGAATTAGACAATTGGCCATGTCTTCATCTTCCTCAGTACTTGTAGATATTCCACTTGATGTTGTGGGAGAAGAAACCAATGAACGGAACCCATTTCCGCCTCCTCGATTGCCACCACAACCACCACCGCTCGATGAGCTAGAGTGTGATGGCCTTAGCTGCTTTGTACGCTTTCTTTTAAGGATCATTTGATCCTGGTACTTTGTAAACTCTTCTAGCATCTCGATTTCCATATGCCCAAAAGAGGTTACAACTTTCAATATAGAAGAGAGTAGTATTGGAATTTAGAACAAGACTTGGAATAACACTACTTAGTGTAAGAAAGTGGAGAGTGAGATGAAAGAAACTGTGGATGGGTTATATTATGCGTGTGTATGTATATATATAATCAATTGTATTAAAGTGTTAGAAATTTCAAATCCGCCCTAGTCGACAGTTACCATGAATTAGCCTGTGGCCACCAATATTCCTTGCGTTTCCTACTTGGAAAAGTGTTTTTTAACAACTAAGAAGAACCCAACGTGACAAACACATCTTTTTCCTTTTGGGAAGTGTCCAAAGGCATTAAAAATCGAAGCGTATGACGAATAGTATTTTTATTATGACCCTGTATGGTTTTTATATTAAAATCTGATATTAATAGATTTTGATAAATGTTGATGAAATGTATAATTAAGAGGTTATGGATCTCATGAATGTATGATTAAAATTAATTCTTCACTTTGACTTACTATTAAGATTTTTAGTTAAACCAAACATGGACAACATATTGTATTTGGTATATTTTATCTTACTGATCAAAGTTGAACGTGCATTACACGTTATTCTAAAATATTTTATAAACACCGTAAAAATAATATTTTGATACCAAATTGTTAAGAGGATTTGATGAGTCTCAAACGAATTAAAAAAAATTAGGATATAAATTTAATAGAAGAAAATGTACTCTTTTTTTGTGATGATGAATATTACAAATGAACAACATTTTTATACTACATTTGGTATATAAGAATTAATTGCTAATACATGAATTTAAACATCCATTAAAATTCTTATATACATGAATAGATATAAATTTATTTATAATAACTTTAGATTAATGTAGATTAAAATTCTTCACGTCAAGATTCACTGAGTCTAGATTAATGTGAATGTTAATAGATTGAAAATTAATAATATGAAATTCGTACTTGACAAGAATTTTGTAGTATTTATTACATATTAAAAAAGAAAAGTAAAATACTATTGAAATAATTGAATTTTTGTAATATGGTCAAAAGAATTCAAAAAATGATTCTCACTTGATGTGATATTTAATATATTAAAGATTAAATATGTCATGATAGTAAATTATGTCAAAAGGAGTTTTTACCTTTAAAGGACAAAAATTTGTCATAATAATATTTCGAAACAATAGGGAAAATTAAGAAGTCTTTTTTTATTCTTTAGGGGGAAAAAAATTAGGTATGTTGTAACACTAACGCATCATCAGTTCAGGTATTCTTAAACTTAAAGAAAAGTATACTATTTTTAGAGAGATGTACAGAAAATAAAGTAGATGGAAGTGAGGTAAATCAAGAAGATTCGGTTGGATTTCAAGCAAACCCTTAAAACTCCTTTTCATAAACTATTCCTCTAAATGGTATGACTTGGATCGGTTGTCACACGCTCTTTTTTTTTTTTTTTCAATAAACTATGTCCCTTGTTATTTTAGATTATACTAAAATAATTTTTTTCCAGTCGAATCTGTTTTTTTTTTTTTTTTTTTTTTCAATAAACTATGTCCCTTGTTATTTTAGATTAGAGTAAAATAATTTTTTTTCCAGTCGAATCTGGTGCATTGAAGGCACACTTAGATTAATGAGAATGTAGAAATATACTAAAAATTGAGACAAATAGCAGAAAGGGGGGGGGTGGGGGGTGTTAAAAATGGAAGATTGATAACTAAAACACTCCCTATATTTATATTCAACCACGGTAGAAATTGAACTAATATTACTGGCCTAGAACCGTGAATGATTTACTTCAAAAATTCGTTTTTGTATTCAGGGCAACACTCCTTATACTTTATTTCAGATTTCAAGAATGAATAAAAACGAGAACATGAAAACCCAATTTTTTTTCACTTGGTATAATTGTGTGTATGCTTGAAAGACTCATCTTTGTCGATTAGAATAGGATATGAATGCTATCGATACTTGAAAGACTTGTACTCTAGCAAAAGCTTGGCTTTATTACTTTAATCGCCTATTTAATATTATATATATTGCCTATGCCAATTTGCGCATGTCACTCATACTGAACTAACCAAAGAAGCAAGAGATACCGAAAGCGATTGACTTCTTCCCTTAGCTTCTATAAATGTAAAACAACTAATCATTTCCTCTTGAATTCAGAATTCACTCCATTATAAAGAGAGAAATGAATAGGTGAATCTGAACATTTTGTTTGGTAATAAAGGACCAAGGTATCACATTGATATCTTTTGGTCATGAATATTAAGTTATTTACATGAGAAACCGAATACTTTTCATCCTCATCTGAACTTGGTTTGAAAATAACACTTTAAGAGATCTGAATTCATACCCTAATTAAGTCAACTATGGTGCTGATTCAATGCAATTTTATGCTATCTTGCTCTTGACCTGCTCTCATTAGCCTCGAGTCTTACTCAAAGTGGATCTTTTTACAGCTCTTTCTTTTCATAATTAGTAAGGTATTGAGCAAAGCATTTCTATGTCACATTTATGCATTTCAACCTAATAAGCATTTTGAGTAAATGGTTGGCAGTTAGATTACCTCTTTGATTTAGTCCGGCTCGTTGGTACAACAAAAATGTTTAAATTTAGATCACCTCTCTTTTTCTCATAATGTATCGAAGATCTATCGTGTAATAAGCCATTTATTTCAATGGTGGGTAATTATTGTTTTGTTTGTATTTCAATCCTGACTACCATTTATTACAAGCATACAAACGATTACATATACATGTATGAACAAAGAATTGAACTTTACTAGGATTTATTTTATCTTATTTTATTTTTGTAAAATAGTGTGAACAATATTGTGATATTAAATAGAAACGAAAAGGCTAAAATCTTTTTCATCGTCATGTTCATTGATCGTACATAAACCCATCTAAATCAAATGCAAAATAGAAGGCACTAGTGGTAGTGCCAGTAGTGTCGTTAGCGATGTCTACTAGTGTAAATGATGTGTAGATAACAACTCGTGGAATTAGTTGTAACAAATGCAAATAAATAAAAGCAAAAGTTAAATTGGCTATTGAAGTCCTACTATGAATGATACTGACTTTATGCCAACTCCCAACCCAAATTAGGTGCTTCTACTCAACTCTACAACTTGCAAAGCTGCAAGCCTCACACTTGCCTTGTGACTCGTTCATTCTTCAACAAGCCTTAAACTACCCTTCCTAATTGTATGCTTCTTGTGGCAATTCCCATGTGTGTCCATGTCAGGTTCACAAGGAAATGTCACCTCATTCTATGTAACTTCCTCCCTTTATTTTCTTTTTTATTACAATTCACGCACGTCTAAATTAGTCGAAAAAGTACATTATCTCCAAAATTACATGATATGAGAAAGAGGAGAGAATTTGATCAAAAGAATAGCATTCAATCAAAGGCAAATATAGGAGTACTACCTCAATTATAAAAATGAGACCAAATGAAGACTATAAAAAATAGAAAGTTTCACCTATTGTAGGAGTGGACACGATATGATTTGGGTGTTTCATGACAAATTTTCAAATCAAACCACTTGAAACAGTTTGAAATTTTTTCAAATCAAACCAATTCAGACCATTTTTTTTTAGTTTGGATCGACTTAAAACCACATTTTAATAAAGAAAAAATAGCATATATCAAATAAATTAAATCATAAATATTAACCATTAAAAATATTACATACCAAAGTTCTACTGTTCTAATCATTATAATGTGATAACATCATACAAAAATGTTGTCTGCGAAAATTTAAGGGAGTCCAGTACTAATTAGAATAAAACAACACAACTACCAATAGAGTGTAGTAAATAATTACCAAAAAATATATGAAATTTTGGATAAACAGACCTAAAAATTTTGCTGGAATTCAAGAAAATTATTAGTAGAAGGAAAGAAATGTGTGAGTCTAAATTAAACTTTAAATTTAATTATTTACTCAACTATAATGGGTTGTCGATCAATATGGTTCAACAACAATTTTTCAAAACCAACTTATGTGTATTTGAGTATGATATAATTAATTAATTTGGATGAATAATTGTCTATTTATATATTGAGTTATACTAATATGGATGTATCTTTTTAACTATGATGTGTTTAGTTTTAATTGAATCAGATAAAATTTAATTTATATGTTTTCACTTTTTATTTATTATTATTATTATTATTATTATTATTATTTTGTAAACAGTTTGAAACAATTTGCAAAAATTAAAATCTAAACCAAATCATTTTGAATTGGTTTGAATTGATTTAAAACCAAACATGAACAGAGAGAAACCAACGGTTTCAAAAAAGCGATTTCG